CACTGTCGGACTGTCACGGTCATTGCCACTGTCTGACTGTCACTGTCATTCTCACTGTCCGACTGTGACTATCTGGTTGTCATTGCCACTGTCTGTCACTGTCATTGCCTCTGTCCGACTGTCATTGTCATTCTCACTGTCTAACTGTCACTGTCCGACTGTGACTGTCATTATCACTAACTGTCACGGTCATTCTCGCTGTCCGACTGTCACTGTCCGGTTGTCATTGCCACTGATCGCCACTGTCCGACTGTCACTGCCTGATTGTTACTGTCCGACTGTCACTGTCTGATTGTTACTATCATTGCGGCTGTTCAACTGTCACTGACATTCATATTCTCCAACAGTCACTGGTCAGGGAGTGATTAATTCTCTGGGTTAGTTTATTTAAAACATTAAAACACATCACAAGTTATGAAGGAGGCATTGCAGCAAACTCACTGTCTATGTGTGTGCACACGTGTCTCAGTGTATGTTTGTGTGTCTCTGCGTGTCTGTCTCTCTCTCTCTGTACCCATGTCGCTGCCCCATAACAGTCAGGCTAAGTCACAACATTGTGTGCACATAACACCAAGGCAGTCCTGAAAGGTGAATTCTCTTAAAGGCCCAGGTTCAAATACAAAAGTGAGTGAGTGTGTGATTCCCTACTATGTTGAGCTAATTTGCTGAGATGCCCCACAAACAGACGTGATGTTGAATAGCCTACAACCATCAGTGATGTCTATCATTCATATTGAAGTGTATGTGGGGTGGGGGAGGGGGAAGGTGACAATGTTGGCAGAAATGGTTTCTTGTGAGAAAGAACCAGGAATGATCCCAAGATGCAAGAGAACAGCTGGTGCTCACAGCAGCCTGTGCTTATGGCTGGATTCCCATGGGAAGGGGAGTCGTGGGGAGGGCAGAAACAGACTGGAGTTTGGATTGAAAGGCAAACAGCCAGCTGTGGAAAGACCGATCGCTTGCTGCACCTGGGCCAAAGAGCTAGCATAGACCCGACGGGCAGAACAGACTGTGACTCTGCACTCACAGAGTCATACAGGTCTATAGCACAGAACCCTTTGGCCCATCGAGTCCATTTCCCAGCTCTTGGCCCCATAGCCTTGTTATTGTGAGTGTCCATCTCAAAACTTCTTCAATGTTCTGAGGGGTTTCTGCCCCTCCCACCCTCACAGGCAGCGAGTTCCAGATTCCCCATCACCCTCTGGGTCAATAACAAACCCTCACATACCCACCTCCGAACCTCCTGCCCCTCACCTTCAATCTATGCCACTCCCTGGTCACCTATCCCTCAATCAGGGGGCAAATGTTTCTCCCCGTCAATGCGCCTCATCATTTGAAACATCTCAGTCATGTCCTCCTCTCTTAGTCTTCTCTGATCCAAGGAAAACAACCCCAGTCTGTCCAATCTCCCTCCATCTCTGAAACTCCCCAGTCCCAAGGAGCAATGTACTGGTTAATCTCCCTCTGTCCCAGGGCTGTCACAACCCATCAATAATGTAGATTCCAGGCTGTGTGGCCTGACTGATGGTTTACACAGCCCCAGCGACACATCCCTGCTGTTAAATCTCAGTTGAGACTCTGTGTGTGTGTCTCTCTCTCTCTTTCAGCCAAACCAGTACGTCCGGGATATCACGCAGCCTGCTCCCCAGTCAGCACCCACGGGCTCCACCACCCAAATACCTGCACCTACAGCAACACACTCTTTCAGACCTGCCACCCCATGTATGTACCAGGACTGGTGGATCACACCGGAGACAAATAGTAAGTAAGAGATGTTCTGAGGACCCTCCGACAGCGCCCGCTCCCTCGGCGCCGACCCTCCGACAGCGCCCGCTCCCTCGGTGCCGACCCTCCGACAGCGCCTGCTCCCTCGGCGCCGACCCTCCGACAGCGCCCGCTCCCTTGGCACCGACCCTCCGACAGCGCCTGCTCCCTTGGCACAGGGAAGGTCAGTCTCGAGTGTGGCAATCCAGAAGGAGCTGTCATTGTTGTAAATGTTATCTTAGGCACGTTGGTGACGATCTGACCTCTCTCTTTCTGTCCCAGCGCTCCAAGTGGCAGCTGTTCGAGTGGGTCAGTGTCATCCGGAGACAGCTTCCGTGTGTGCCCCAGACAGATGTCGGACAACGGTGAGGGGCATTCTGCAGAACACAGTACCTGGGCTCATCTCTTACTGTTTAACTCAATTTTAACTGGCGTGCAGGAGAGAGGGGATACACAGGGTGCTGGGAGGTAACATGTGAGATTCAGGATCACACAGGAAGGTGATAGTATGGAGCACGGTCTTGTGCAGGGATGAAATAGTTCAGAACGCAGTCTGTATGAAACACACAGACAATTCGTGCAGGTTTAGCAATCAGAGGGACACAAAGTGCAGGCCAGGGCAGGACATGGTGGCAGCCGAAGGAATATTGTCCTCTTGGTTTGCTGATCAGTCTCTGCCTTTATCTTTCCTCTTTTTCTCCTCTCTCCCTCCCGCTTTCCCTGACTCCATCTCCCCCTTTCCCTCTCTCTCTCTGACTCTCCCTCTCTCCATCTTTGCCTCTATCCATCTCTCCCTCTCTCTTGCTCTCCCTCAGGCAATGCAACTGACATCAATGATAACAGGTGAGTGAGATCTTCAGTACAGTCTGTATCCCCCGCTGTCACGGTGCCCATGTGAAACTTACTCCATTGCTTCTGCAACCCAGTTCCTCAATCAGGCCGTATGCAGGCCATTCCGCAAAAATTCCAAAACACAACTCCTCAGCATATGGCCAACCAGAAATCCTTCAAACATCGCCCACCTCCCTTCAGAGGGGACAGTGGATTGGAAATAGGTCAGACAGAAACTGCTGTCCTGGGAGCACCTGTTGTGGGGGACAGTGTAGAGGGAGCTTTACTCTGTATCTAACGCTGTGCTGTCCCTGTCCCTGGGAGTGTTTGATGGAGGACAGTGTAGAGGTAGCTTGACTCTGTATCTAACCCCCATGCTGTCCCTGTCCCTGGGAGTGTTTGATGGAGGACGGTGTAGAAGGAGCTTTACTCTGTATCTAACCCCATGCTGTCCCTGTCTCTGGGAGTGTTTGATGGGGGTATGGTGTAGAAGGAGCTTTACTCTGTATCTAACCCCATGCTGTCCCTGTCTCTGGGAGTGTTTGATGGGGGGGACAGTGTAGAGGGAGCTTTACTCTGCATCTAACCCCGTGCTGTCCCTATTGCTGGGACTGTTTGATGGGGTGAGGGAACAGTGCAGAGGGAACCTTTACTCTGTATCTAACCCTGGTTGTGTGACTGTAGGAGTGAATCCCACTGTGGCTGTGAAGCTGAAGAACAATCCAATGTCTATGTCTTCCAGCAGGAGACAGCAGCAAGTTAATACTAGCGTCCTGGATCCAGGTAACCTTGCCAATCTCTAAAAGCTACTTTAATAAAACCACTTGGCTCTCGCGCTGAAATTTCTTGGGCCTGCTGTCCCACTCCGATACAGTGGAACGCAGTCTGAAGGATCGACATCTCATTTTCTGCTGAGGCACTTTACAGCCTGGACGTCTCAATACGCACATTCCACAATCTCAGAATCTGACCGCTGTATTCACCAATTTTCTTATGTTCTCAAAACCCCCCGATCCTGTTCCCCCATTGCCCCACACAAAACACACACAAACACACACACACACACTAATATTCACACACACACACCCCTCACTCACACACGCGCAAACACACACACACCTCTCACTCAACACGCGCGCACCCACACGCCCCTCTCACTCACACACGCGCGCACCCATACGCCCCTCTCACTCACACACGCATGCACCCACACGCCCCTCTCACTCAACACGCGCGCACCCACACGCCCCTCTCACTCTCACACAGGCGCACCCACACGCCCCTCTCACTCACACACGCGCGCACCCACACGCCCCTCTCACTCACACACGCGCGCACCCACACGCCGCTCTCACTCACACACGTGTGCACCCACACGCCCCTCTCACTCTCTCACTCACACACGCGCGCACCCACACGCCCGTCTCAATCTCTCACTCACACACGCGCGCACCCACACG